CCCCCGCCCCTCCCTCCCATCCTTCCCCCGTCCCCCCGGGGATCATTCCCATCGAACTGTGCCTTTGGGCGCTGTTTGCCCCCTTCCACTCTCCTGGTTTCCTCGCAGGAACGTGCCCATCACTCCCACCGTGCTGAACAGATAGATGTTAATCTCGGCAAACTGCTTGATCTTGGGGATTTTGGTAAACGACGGTTTCCAATGACTCGAGCTGCATTTAAATTCTGAGGGAACAGGGAAAAAGGCATTCGTTGGTTGCATGAACTTTGAAGGGCAGATACTACTGCACAAATGCTGCCATCTTGCTTAATTTTTAACTATGCATCGCAGTGCAGGCTAATGAATACATTATTTTCTTTTATTTTTCGGATATGCTAAACTGGAAGCTTAGCAGATGTGGGCCAAACCTTTCTGGATCAGAACAAGTAATACTGTTACTTAGAGTCTGCTGCCCATTCCCCCTCCCCCATATGTACAGACAATAATATGGTGTGGATGGAATGCTGACTAGTGGCAAACATTTCACAGGTCTTCTTTCTCTCTCTCTTTTTTTTTTTTTTTTTTTTTTTTAGTTCTAATTATTTTCTGTCTTCAGCATTTTGACACTGTGCTAATATAGTTTATTCCGTACATGAAAAGATACTACTGTGTTGAAAGCTTTTCAGGAAATTTTGACAGTATTTTTGTACAAAACATTTTTTTGAGAAAATATTGTTAATTTATTCTATTTTAATTTGCCAATGTCAATAAAAAGTTAAGAAATGCTTTAGTTTTTCTAGAAGTCATTTACCACTATTTTTCTTTAAAACTCCCCCCACTGTCCCTGGTAAGTAGAGCATCTCTCTGTAGTACCATGTCGGTGTTCAAAAAGACATTCCAGGATATAAGGTACACTGCACCTCTATGTATGTCATGGTGAACTCGGTAGGTGAGCGGGATTTAAACATACTTACAGCATACAGCCTCATACGTAGCATTGTAATATGCCTGTCAGTGTGGTTTTATGAAATACAAAGTTGCCGAGATGCGACTTTTTTGTGACTTGCCAACATACTTGCTTTAAATGTAGTTGTCCAGAGTTATGATGCATAAAGTATTTATTATATTTATCTATTAAACTTGTAATTTTATAAATCCGCTTTCATTTATATAGTAGACTTTTTTTTTCTTTTTGTATATTTATTATCTCATCTGAAGGAACTACTTTGAAAGATTGTTTGACAGATAATAACTTGTTGTAACTTGGGGAAGGAGGGTGGTGGGCTTCCTCCTCTCCCAGAGAGGGTTAACAGAGGGGAGCGCAGCTCAGATCTGCATCACGTCAGCACTGACCTCATTCCATTCCTAGAGACTTAGGAAGAAGCTAGTGTATTTTAAATACCATGGGATATCTGTCACCCTTTCTCCCATAGAATTGCTACTGCCTAACCCCACTGAGACAAATCCATAAGTATCCACTTTAAATATCTGGGAGAGAAAAAAGGCCCCTTTTTGTAGGGCAGATGACATCTTGCTCCTCCATTGCCAACTGTTGCAGACTTCTGCCCTCACTCCACCTTTGGCAAAGCTGACCTGTAAGTTATTGCTTCAGAGAGGACTGCAAGACCAGGCCTTGGTAATACACACATTCCCATTAACTTCCCAAATTCAATACAGGTATGATGCCTCCATGCTTTCTTCTTGTTTAACTTTTTCAACTTTTTGTTCTGAGTTTATTAGGAAGAAGAGCAATGTGGTGGAGGTGGTCAAAGTTTAAACTTGGGCACATAAACAGGGGAGGACATCACTGCACCACAGGAGTGCAAACAGCAGAGTTTTTAATCCAGTGGGGAAAATAAACTGATTACTACTGATAAAAACTGTCCCAGCTGGCAAGTAAAGTGCTATTTGGTTTTCTTTGCCCTATATGGACAAGAAGGAGTTAATATGTTTTATGATGGTAAGGGGGGGAAAAAAAAAAAAGTGCTATAATATTAACAAAAGTAGATATAAGGAAGTGAACACTTCTGGGAAAATCTGATGATAACATGGTCCTAGCAGTTGATAACAGCTCACTGTTAGACAACCCAAGAGCTTAAAAATGAAGGCCGGTTCCAGCCAGCACTTGCTCATGTTGTGCTGCAGCAAACTGAACATCAAATGGGGGTATTTAAAATAACATGAGTGTTTAAAAGAATACAGGTGTACTTCACCCAACTTGCCACTATATAAATCCCTTTTCTATGCTAAGGCTGTTTGATCTGCACACATTGCATTGCGTTCTTCTGTAGAGCTCTGGAGAGTATCTTCTGATTCTGACCAACTTCTTACAGAGCAGATCATCAAATTATGGGCATATCAACCAGCATCAATGTTTAAATCCCCTACATTCTCCCAAAATAAAAAGAGATATTCCCACTTATATTATGAAGTACTTTTGCTTCATAATGTTGGTTAAGCAAAAGATTCTTCACAGTTGAGACATCATTACTTAAGTCATAGAATCATTGAATGGCTTAGGTTAGAAGAAACCTTAAAGGTTATCCAGTTCCAACCTCCTTCACCATGGGTAGGGCTGCCCCCCACCAGCTCAGCAGGCCAGGGCTCCGTCCAACCAGGCCTTGAGTGTTTCCAGGGATGGGGCACCACAACTTGTCTGGGCAGTAATGCCAGCATCTCACCGCTCTGAGTTGAGAATCTCAACATCTAATCTAAATCCTTTTCCAGGAGCAGGCAGTTTCACAGGCATACTGGCAAAGCCTATTGGTGTACAACTCCGTAAAACTCCCGAGAGCTGCTGAAGCCACTGAAGGCTCTGGTGTTGGGCTTGGTTTGCCAAGGATTTTTGCAAATTCTCAAAAGTAGACCTCGGGGAAATATGCAAAACAATCATTTTGCCTATATTGTCCCTTAATTTCTAATGAAGAATCACATCCCAGGGGATATCACAGTTCTGTATATTCTTATGCATAATACCATCTTCTGAGCAATATTGGGGGCCTGACCCTCATCTTCCTGAGCTGAACCCCGTGGTAATGCTCCCAAAGGCAAATGCAGCTGAAACAGCAATGGGCCTTCGATTTGATCCTATATGGCTTACAAATAAGTTAAAATAATTTATATTTTGAGCAGAGTGATCAGTGAAAAACACACAATGACCCAGTTCTCCAGCTACCGTCAGACACTGGCCAATGACGCTGCAGCCCTGTGTCCCATTAGGTTGCTTTTAGCACAGGAAACTTGACCTCTGTACTTTGGCTGTTTTTCAAGAACTTCGAACATGGTACATGAGATCTGCTCCTCTTTAAGCCACGTCCATAAATAGCCACACTGCTTTATTCGGTACGGAGATCAGCCTTAAGCCTCCCCGCCACGCAAGACACGCTGGTTGGAAAAAGAGGTGCTGATGTACGCCATCCTCAGCCTTATTCCGCCGGGTCTGAAGAAAGTACGGAAAGCTGCCGGGCAGGGTGAGGAAGCACCGTTCCCACTGCGGCCACAGCTGGACGTCGGGCCCGGGGATACTGGGGGCACAGAGCACGGCCCCGCCAGAGCACCTGCGCGGGGCGGCGCGGCGGCACTATGGCGCCCCCCTGTGGGAGACCGCCGGCCCTGCGGGCGCTGCCCGGCTCAGCGCTACGCAGCCCGAGGGGATGCGGGGCCTCACGAAATTTCTTATTGTGGCTTTTAGAAGAAGAGCAAACCAACCTCGGGGGAAAAAAAAAGAAAAAAAAAAAAAAAAAGCCTGTTGGTCGCAGGTTTTATTTAAAAACAAACAAGCAAAACCGGAAAAACAAAACAAAACAAAAAAACCAACACCGTTATATAAACAAGGATTATTCCCTGCTTATCTTGTCGTGCAAAGGGGATTGGAAAATTCCAACATCTGGATTTGTAGAGTTCCTTTCATTTGTTTCTTTTTTTTTACTTTTTTTTTTTTCCCCCTAGAGATGTTTTCCACACACCAGATTCAACAGAGAACTTGGGTGCAAAAGCACTGTGGATCACTGGTGATGGGCCAAAGGCTGTGGCACATATCAGTGGTGCCACATGTTAATACTTCCTGATGGCATGATGCATTTCTGCAGCTCCTCCTGGCTGTGTGGCCCAGTGGGACCTAACATGGGGCTGGTACCAAATGGCCCATTTCCCCCTTGAACTGGAAATTTTGCAGGACCTAGAATGGGCAGGGGCATGGAGAGAGTGGAGGTGGTGCCAGAAAAAGCAGTTCTCATCCATGATCTTACTGCTATCCTTCTTGAAGCCTTCATTTCCTCCAAAATGCTTTCACATCCAAAATGCTATCACAGACAGGAATAAGAAGTGTCTGTGTTACAGATTTGGACTATGTGTACTGACCTTAACCTGATCTATTTCTGTATCATCACTCTTAGGCATAGAAGTGTGAACAAGGACTATGTGACATTGGCAGGAACTGTTTAAGTGACAATTTATATTTATTTTTTTAATATTCAGGCAAATATATTAGATAAAACTGTGTGTGCATTAAAGCTAAGCTGAGGAATCAATGAGGAACTCATGGCAGCAGCATTTTCTCAGGGTTTCCTGGATTCCAAGTGAATCATGTTGTCAGTACAGAGGAGGTGTTTCATATCTCTTCTTCAAATATATTTACACATTTCAATATGGTGCCACTATTGTGCTCACGCACAAGAGAAAGCTGAGTCCCAGTAACTGCAACGATAATGAGATACATCAAATGACTGAACAGATGAGCCACTGTTATGGTAGGTTCTCTGTTATTTGCCTCATTTTAGAAGGAAATTTGCAGCAGCAGGTTTTTAATAGAGAAGGATCAGGTATTTCAGTCCCAGTCCATCTGCTGTGCCCTCCCCCTCTTAAAAAATTACACAGGGGCAATCTGATCACAAACCTGAAGCAGACTTTTTCAGACACATCTTTAGCATACTTAAAACAAGTAAAGTTTTTTTTCCAGCTGATCACTTCTCTCACCTTTTTCTTTCAGCAGGACATTTTGTTATTTTGATATACCACAAAGTTCATCTGGCAATATATTCCCTATTTTATCAAGAATAAAGTAAAATAAAATAAACTTTCAGAACTGTTAAGCTCCTAAAACTCTAGTTGAAGACAATAGAACAAGTACAAAGCACCTCTTGATCACAGAAGCTAAATATTTAGCAGATGCTCTACACAAGGAGATCTTGGAGCTGCACCTACTTATCTGCAGTTCTGACACTGAGCCTCCTAACAATTGCTCTCTGCATGTGATCCCACAGCCTGCTTAGCAAACATGAGTACACTGCCGGGGAGAGGGTGGAGTTGTTGAAAGTCTTTACAACGTCTTATCTGCTGCTATTTAAACAGAAGTAACAGAGAGGATTTCGGATTTCTCACTCGCTTTACCAGAATAAGTACTTAAAGGCTTGCAACTCAAAATGTTTTTTCTTCCAGCAGCATTATTTAGTCTAGTAATCAATATTATCAATATCAAATCAATATCAACACATCTTCCATCAGCTTTGAATAAAGTAATGTATGTATTTTGAAGGCAGGAGTGGATTCCTGGAATTTTCCAAAGACAAATCATTGCACCAAGCCTCTGCACGCACCTGTTTTGTACAGAAGCTAAATAGTGATAATTTGGGTTGCTCTGAGGTAGGGTGCTGGGCTGCTTCTCTGCAGGCTGCACTAAGGCTATTGTGTGATCCACCAAGGAGGTGAAGGACAAGGCATATGCATGGTGTGGAGATGAGTGATTCACACATTTCTAAGTGGTAAGGAAAAAATAATTTAAAAAAAAGTTACAGTCACTACAAAGTTTTAGGGATTAGATGTCAGGGGAACAGTCCCATTCCCAGTCCAACAGCATTCTATAAGCTGTTTTAGCCAAAACACAGACTTGGAGCCTGTGCTTAGGCCTCCTTCAAGCCAACTTCTCCATTTTTAAAACCTCTATAATCCAATAATTTGGACTCACACAGTGTAGTTCTTTAGTGGCCAGGAGGTATCACAGACCCCATGTTTTCTCTTCTCCTCACCTAGGTTTAATCAGGGCAAAACCAAGTCATTGAAAGAAACCTGATCTAGCTGTGGTATCCCTGACCATTGCAGGTGAGTTGAACAAGATGGCCCTCACCGGTCCATTCCAACTCTAAGGATTCTATGATTCTATGAAGGTGTTCTGAGGGGATGGTGTGTTTGCCTTTGGGATGCATGCTGACCTCGTGCGGTTGCAACTGTGCAGGGGAGGGTGACAGCTGATCCCACACATCACCTCGTGTGTGACTTTACCCTACAAGGCCAACAGAAGCTTCTGACAGGCATCTCATCCCATGTCCTGCTTTGTGGAATGGGACCAGCTGCACTGCACTGGAAGCCAGCAGTGCCCATGGTGGGACTGCTGCTCCTCTTCCCTCACTCTTACCTTCTGAGACAACATCCTCTTGCCAGACCATTTAATCAAGCACTTTACATTAAAGATAACACAGAGATAATCATACAGAATTTTCAAAGCCTCTGTTTAAATGGCTGAAATGTGGTTGGAGGCGTTTTGGTTCAAATCACAGTTTAAATATTGAAACGGAGAAGGAACAATTTAACGTGACGAATGACTCCAGAAAGGCTGCAGTACTGGGCGTTTGTCCACTAGGTGTAGCTGAAACCCTGCAGTTCTTATTGATTAAAGTCGAAAAGAGAAGCATTTACTTCATGGCATACATTTACACTGAACGGAAAGTAATCAGAATGAAAAGTGGTAAATGCTTATGGAGCAGAGCCTTCACCTAATGCAAGAACCGCACGACAGCACCATCACAAAAATAGATTAATTTGTACTGGGACTCTGTCCTAACTTTCTAATCTAGAAGTCTTTTGGACACGATTCATTCCACACGTAAATATCACAGGTAATGAAACGCCCTCCAGAGAAAGCTATTAGTAACTTCAGTTTTGGTTACATGTTTTTTGCCCAAACATTATTACCAGAAGCTCTATTTAAACAAAGAGATTGGCTCCACTCAACAAAACAGAAAATAACAACAGTGAAGTGAAGCACTTCTAAAACCCATATCTAATACTTCATTTTTATTTCGGCCTAAAGAAGAGAAGTGTGATACTTTGTTTCCTTGATCCTCTTTCTTGATTCTCTACCATTTTTAAATTATTATTATTATTATTTTTTTTTTTCAACCTGCACATAACAGCTTAGTCCTGATATCCTCATTCCTCTGCTTAGAGAGAAGGCAAAACAAGAACAGTCCTGGTGTATAAGACAAATTCAGGAGTCCAAGTATCAGTGAGCTTGAAAGTGCTCTGAGAGCATTATTATTTAAAGACGACGATTCACAGCTCAGCCATGGCACACTGTGTTGGTGTAAGCCACACTTCAATCTCACGAATCCTCCTTGAAACTCTGAAATGGTAACACTAAACCAAGTTAAACCATTCCAGAAGCATAGTACCATAGGTACAAATATTAACCATCCCCTGTAACTCCAGATCTCTTATTAAGATCATGATTTAAGGTTACATTAAGTCAGAGTTCACAACCACTGTGACAACCGGTGTCCAAGGTTCTAATTAACTGAATTCACGTATTAAATATTTGAGCGTACTCTTATTGTGGCATTTGGAGCAGGATGGATTCATATATTTTCAATCCATGTTGGCATCACCCTGGTAGCAGTCAGCCTTTACCTACTGAAAAGGAAAGGAAGGTAGACGGAAAGCTGTTATGACGTTTCTTGCTAAATCTGATCAACTAACTTTTTCCTAAAATGTCTGTGGCTTTGTTTATTTTTTTCCCCTCAACAAAAGTGAAGAGCTCCATAGTGCTTCTGGTCAGTGGCTCGTGCCAGCCTCTTTCGTTCTGAGGAAATTGCATATTACTTTTTCTGGAAACTTAAGTATACGCATGCTGATGTCCTCACTTTCACATATGTCACATCTAAGGAGGATAAGTACTTTTCTCTTCCTGCTTGTTCTGCTAAAATAATGAAGTAGGTATCTTAATATTCCAACCAGTTCAAGTTTCCAGTAAAATGTTTGTTGTTATCCAGTGGATTTTATAGTCTGCTTTAGAAAGGCAAGTTGCCAGCTTATGTTTCCTTGTGCAGCAGTTACTGGGTTCATGAATTCCTCAGCATGTGTTGCTTGAGATGGATGATCATGCTGAAATGCTGTATTCCACCTTTTAATCAAGGTCACCTGGAAAACTGATGACCTGTGCATATCCTTGAGAGCTGACAGTCTAGGAAGGAACAGAATGACAGAACAGGACTGTGAGATTGATAAAGTGTTAGAAGAACCCAGCTTGTCAAACGTCTTATTGGTGACATAAAAGGAAATAAAAGAGAGAGCAAGCCAGCTGTAAAGCAACCATGCATTCTCCTTGTTTATTCACAGCTGACACAAGTATTTGGTACTTCCTCAGCAACTTCTTGCCTGACATGCCCTCCAATGGCTTTTTCCTTTTTGTAATTGTTTGGCAAATAATTTAGAAAGAAGAACAGGATTAAAGACAGATAATTTCTTTTTCCATGCTTTGGCTGATGAAACAGTCTCCAGCCTTACAAACAGTAGTTATTCTTGCTTACTCTGCTGGATGATCTTGCTGTGTTCAAAGATCGCACCATTTTTTAACTCTGCCATATTTAGCCTGTGTAGATACAAGGAGAACTCTCATGTTCCACATGAATTCCTAATACCAAGAAAACTCCCCACTTGGTACTGCTGGCTACCAGGAGACTTCATACTACTTATATTGCACAAAATTTGTCCTAAGGTCTGTGTGAAACACACCAAGGTAGAGAAACAGTCACCACTGATCTCTTTCCAACAGAATGATTAGACAAAATAGCTCTGGGTAAACGTATTCCTTACCTTAAGAATCTTCTCAAATGCAATGCTTATGGTGCCAGGCAAGTTTGTAGATAAAGATACTGAGATGTAAATCCAGTGTCACGCAGTATGGCTAGTGTGGTCCTTCTCAGTGCACAAAAGAGATCAGGAGGCATTTTGAGAGAAACAGACCTTGTCCAGACAGCATGGAAGAAGTACTGGTGGAATGAACATAGGTCCAAATGCAACTTTGTATGATTCCAATCCTTTTTCTTCATAATTTAACTGGCTTTAAGAATTTTACAGGACCCTCTTCCCTGTGAAATAGAAGATTCACAAAAGAGAGTGAGTACCTTGTGTCAGTTGTTGCTATTTTGTGCAGGCGTGGTAGCTTGAAGTGCAAATATGGAGCAGGAGATCCATGCTAGCAGAGCACAAAGAAAAGTGTCCCTGGCATTGGGTAACTTACTCTCTGGCTATCCTATAAGGCAAGTGGGAGAACAAATGATGAGGAGAAAAAAAATATGAGAAAAGGTAATACTTCTTAGTTATTAGAACAAAAATATGATAATGTGTAATTTTAATTACCTTGTGCTGGATACATTTTTGTGAGGTGGACTGCCCCTCCATTCTAAGCAAGCAACTCCAGTCTTCTTGTATAAAGTAAGCACATCTCAATTAACATAGAAAAGCATCTGAACACATTTTGTTTCCATCAACATGACCTTCAGCAAGCCTTTATTTATTGTGAATTAACATCTAACACTGTATGTCTCAGTTTACTCTTTCAGGTAATGAGTACAGTGTGCTTTTTGCTGCTCAAGGTTGAACTTGCTTAATAGATTACATTAGATGCTTGCAGGCAAGCTACTGCACAACTGGAAACCACTGCCACAAAAGTCTGCTCCTAAATTTCAATTCAAAATATTTGTTTTAAATATTTCAATCATAGATAACCGTGACCTTCAGTAAAACACATTTTAGCTTCAGAAAACAATTACTAGCAACCAAAAAAAAAGATAAAAGGGACTACAAGTGTGTCTTCTAATGCTATAGAAACACAGCTCTATTGCAGACAGCTGATGGTGGTTTCAGAGTGTCAGCATGAAATAGAATTATTGTCTCTGATTCCAAAAAGGGTGCTAAACAGCTGATTTTTCCCTGGTTCAGCAATTCTCAATACTCCAACTGCTATGGGAGTATCCAATTTACATAGTCACTCTGAAGTAACTGAGTCAAGATCTATACCATACTACCTTTCAAAGTGCTTTAGGAGGAAAAAAAATATATTAAAAAAGAATGCATATCAGTGGAGTTTTAGAGACATACCTGAAGGTTTCTGAGACTGAATTTTACAAATATGTCTTTCCATACCTCCCTATTCAAGCCTATGATCTAAGTTAGGGACCAAATTTGCCTCTCGCAATAAATACAATGTGCATACCTGCATTTTTTATGTACACAAAATGAAGGTTTGCTATATTCTAGCAAAGTCATTGACACCTCTGTCATACTTGTCTTTCAGCTCAGAATAACATAAAAGTTACTCTCCTTCAATCATTTCTTTGTTCATCCTTCTGTCTGTTAGGATTTATTTTCCTCCTTTGTTTTTACTCATTTGGTCCCTCAAAAGATGGCATGTCTAAGAAGGAAATTCTTCCTGGACTACTAGTAAAACCTTATCCACACACACATCTAGAACTGTTTTACTGTTTTGATCTATTAACACCAATATACCTTTTTCACCCTTTTGCATTTCCCCTGCAGTGATTCTTTTTCCATGCATGTCTTAAAATAGGTCATTGGTGTTTACATCAGCAGCCATTTTAGACACTGCACAGTAGTACTGCCAGCTCTGTGAGCCACTGTGCAGTTCCTCCTGAACTAACAGTTCATCAGCCACTCTAAATAAAATTAAACAATAAAATTAGGATCTCATTACAACTCATTTCACTATTGTTGCCTCTATTATTTCTCTTTCTGCACATCTTTAACTTCCAGCACAAATGTCTCCATTACTTCCAAGTTTCATTTAAGTATTATGCCAAACCGCATCCTTCCCGTTGTATCAATCACTGCTCTTCCAACCTGTGTTCTTAGCTAAGTTAGTCATTGCCTTAGCATTACTCAGCCCCTTATGTCCTCAGATTCTTTTGGATTGTCAGCAGAATTTGGATCTCACCTTTTTCAGAGAAAGATATTTGGCTCCTATTCTGAGATGCTTTACTGCCCATGCTAAACTCCTATAACTGAGAGAGCTAGTCTTCAATTTCTAATTTGCTTTATTCTCCATCCTGCTCACCAGCAGGTGTTCCTCATGAAATCTGCTCCACATACAGAGCAGCTGCAGGACCAAGCTCTTAATGAGGCTTTTCCTTTCCTAATTTTTTGCAAACCAGATCAAGCAGGAGTCTTTATATATATATATACATGTATATATTTATCTATAACAAAGCTGGTGCAAGTGAATGTTACTAGAAAATTGAAGGGGCTAGAAAAGGGAAGGAAAGAGGAAAAGCACCTTTATACAAGTCAGTTTACACTATCTTACTGGGATAGTTAACTTTCTTCTCTGTAAGTCATCCTTGACTGATGTACTGTCTGATATGTGATTTACAGCATGATTGCATCTGAATTGGGCCCAGAGATCCGGTAGGATCACAGAATGTCCAGGGTAGGCTATCAACTGGGCACAACTCTACTCCCAAAAGGTTGCTTCTAGCTGGAGGGACATCACTTTTAGATTAGATTAAAAATAGACAGTTTTGGTATGAAGTATGTTTTAGAAGTTTCAGACTTGATTTTATGTTAGCTTAAAATGATGTAACTTAGCAGTAACTTCACTGCAGTACCAGTATAACTGGAATCAGATAACACTGCTCTTTTCCTTCCTAATAAATTATCCGAATATAGTGGAGGAAGGTTATTTCCAAACTGCAGAGATGCATTCAGGTGTGACTGTATGTCTTACCTGAGGGATTCCTTTACCTCATGTGTCATTTTTCAAGTGAATCTCTTCTCCATTTTGCCAAATTCTTCAAACAGAACATAGCATAATGTATTTATGGAGAGTCTATCTCTTGGGCAAGCTGAAGCAGTGAAAATTGCCTGTAGAAAATTGAAACCCTGATAATTGATTTTGCTTGCTCTTAAGATTTCAAAAGCCTTGAATCTTTCCAGGAATAAATCAAAAACTGTTTAGTAGCAAACCACGGGGGATTCCTCCAGTTTCTTAGACCGGTTTCTTCACTAAAACTCAGAAATTATATTCTTACTGATGTAGATTAAGAATTAAATTATTTGCTTAAATTAGTTATGTCTAATGCCTATTGGGATTTTCTGTGTCAGCCAATTTGGCTGTGTTATTAACTGCCATTTGTAGCCAGGATCTTTGAGTTGTAAAGATGAAACCTGGCAAACCTTAGGCATATGACAAACCCTTCAGGCCATAAAATCTTATTAGAAGGCAAATCATAACCTCTCAGCCCTTTTGAGATTGATTTGGAGCTAGGAAATCTGCAGAAAATTGATGCTGTATGGAGCACCTGCTTTGTGCATGCAAATAAATGTAAATATCTTTTTTTTTTTTTTTTTTTACATCGAACTCAGCAGGAGAGAAATGATTCTCAAGAGGTCACCATGCAAAATGTCTGCCGGGTACAGATGTTTACAACACTTCTATAGAACTAAATTAAACCCAGTGGAGATCAGTCTTGACAGACCTGGCATTGGGTCCTCATAAGATTCTTCTCATGACACTCTGTTCCCACAGCAGGGGAACGCTGCTTGACTCAGCAAGCTTCTGAGTTCTAGAGACCACTGCATACATAACAATGTGCTTTTGTGACTCAAGACCTTTGTGAGAGCTATATCTGAACCACATTATTCATATATGTTATACTTTTGTCATATATCTTACATATATGCTTGTTACTATACTATGTGGTTATATTACGGTATAAGAGTGTTATGCAAATGTACAGAAGCACAGAGATATTATGGCACATAATGGTTTAAACAGAATGGAATTTTATTTCCAATATAATTAGGAGAAGCAGTAGTGTAAAAGGAATTGACTCAGCCCAGGTATAATATAATATGAAAGACTTGCATCTGCCCAAAAATAGATTAAAAACTGCTAAGCAGGAAAACTGTGAAGAACATCAAATTGTTAGCAAGTTTTCTTTGCTAACATCTGGAAATTACTCTCACCCTGCTACAGACCTGGCAGTGAAGTGTCAGGCCATGGTGGTTCTGCTGCAGTCCACATCCACATGAATGACATGAGCAGGAGCAGTTGTCTCCGGATTTTCTTGTACTGCTGGCAAGCAGGAGCATGTGGAGCAGTGCAGCTACGATTTGCAGAGGGTTGCAAAATGCATACTTGTTTCTATAGGCCAAGATCCAGTAGATCCCTTACAGTCTTTGGGATCTGCATATACATGCTACTCACATGCTCAGGACCAAGGATTTTATTTTTCCATTTCCTGACTTCCTTATTGCATTAATGAGAACAATTCAGAACATGTAGCTTTGGATTTATCGTAGCTAATATTTATAAGAATAGCCCCAACTAATTTCCTGTTAACAGTACTCTCCAGCGTCTCCAGCACACAACCAATTGTCACTGTCCACGAATCCTTGCAAGCTATTGAGGTGTGACAACAGTTCATGTGCATGCTATTTGTTGCAAAAAATGAGTGAATACATAATAGTCTTACCATGGTGAAAGAAAAGGTCATGCGGAACTTGTCTTACCTTCTGTTTACCAAGGAGTTGGCAACTTTCTGCAACTCAGCTGTTGCTTAGCTCCTTGGTAGATCAGTTATTCACTTTGATCACAGAAACAAAAATGAAGAAGGGGCTGGAGCAGAATTCTCCATTCTAAGCAGAAGCACAAGAAGCCTGTACATTCTTATCTTCTCTTATATTCAGTTTGCTCACTCTGCTGTATCAAAACAACCACAGTTTTATCTTCTCTCAAAACATGCCCAGCCACTTTCAAGTCCCTCCAAAAGATTCCCAACATTTCAAGCACCTTTTCTTTCTCCTTAAATCTGTGACTTCCTTAAGAGCACTGCTGAGCTACCATCAGTTTCTGAAGAAGGTTTACTGGAACAGGCTGCCCAGAGAGGTTGTGGATGCCCCGTCCCTGGAAGTGTTCAAGGCCAGATTGGATGGGGCCCTGGGCAGCCTGATCTAGCATTAAATAGGGAGGTTAGTGGCCCTGCTGTGGCTGGGGGGTTGGAGATTCATGATTCTTGAGGTCCCTTCCAACCCTGGCCATTCTGTGATTCTGTTTAAAGAACCTGTTTTTTCTTTAAGCAACATAGCCCATATATCTTCAGATCATACGAGCTGCCTTTTCCAAGCAAGCAGATAACTATCTCCACAAAGGAAGACCTTTTGTCCGCTGAAGAGAAAGACCAGGATGCTCTCAACATCTCAAATACCTCCAAGCCAGTACTTTTGGATATTGAGCTGCCCAGTGCTGTTTTCTCACATTCTCATGAATCAGATATTGCTACAAAACATTTCTAGATCATCCTGTGTCACACAATGTGCAGTTTAAGAAATTACTCCAAATTGTTGTAGTATATACTTATTTTTCCTCCTATTGTTGCTCTGAGCTTTATTATTTTCCACTGGAGCCAAAGTCCTATTTCTCTTCTCATAGCACTGCCTGCCACTTCCAGCACCAGCCTATTGCTTCCCAGTTGTTTGCATTTTTATGCATTAAACTGACCTACATCTCTCCCTTGGGAGTAAGCAGCAGATGGTCCTTAGGCCATCTGGCATCTCAAGATGCTGCCTGAGTGACTTGTGGGCCACAGCAGTGGGAGATACTGGTTGCTGAATAAACAGCATGCAGCTGAACTCCCTGGAGAATGCTTGGCTGTTTATACAAACAACTTCAGGCCAGAGCGAGCCTGCATGGTAACACGAAGGAAGTAGGTCAGGCAGGTTACCTTGGCAGCAACAAAAACATTTATTTGAGAGCTCCTCGATCCAAAGGGAGGACTACACCAGCCATCTCTCCTAGCAATCCAATCACTGAAATGTGGTGGCTGGGGTTGGATTATTTGCCCCATGAGGTGGCTAGAGAAGGTGAGATGTTCAGCCTGGAGAAGGGAGAGCTTTGAGAGCTCCAAACTGCAGCTCCAAAGAACCTATGAGATTAACAAGAAAAACAGATAGAGGCTCTGCATAGGGGTGTAGGTTGGAGGACAGGAAGCTGAAACAAGAAGGTTCAACCTAGATATGAGGAGAAACCTTTTCACACTGAGGACAGTCAAGCAGCACGACAGGTTGCCCAGAGAGGTCACGCAGTCTCTTAATACTAATACTTAATACAGGCCTTGAGAGACCTGGTCTGAATTCATAGCTAAGCTTGCTTTGAGCAAGAGGTTGGATAAGAGACCTCCAGTGGTCCTCCTGCGAGTCTATGACCATAAATCAATCAGGTTTATAACAAATCCAGCCCAGATCCCAGGTTGCAAAGGGCAGTCACAAGTATGAGCTCACATTGTTGAAAGCCACTCCAGTCTTCCTGGTGTAGACAGAAGACTTAGACAGAGTTTGACCAGACCATGTTTAATAAAGATAAATTTCACAGAGCACAACACATCAAATCCTTGATGGACTAAGATTTAGCTTTCAAGAGTAGCAGCTGTATTTGAATCCTTCCCGTATCTCTTCTTTCTAAGGGCCTGATTCTCTGACCTCTCATGCTATCTCTGTCAGAGAAGGGAATAGCCAACATAGCTGGGTTATGCTGCCAACTAGCAGGCAGCCAACCTGCTCGCCTATCACAGCCAGTCCCCCGCACAGTATGCAGTTGGGCTCTGCAGTGGTTGTTCCTGCTGTGTCACTCTGTCCTTCCCCCTTGCTTGGTCTTCTTGGTGGCAGGATTATAATCCAGTGTCCTGCTGCTGTCGTGCCCTGGTTTGAGCTTTCTGCCTGACTTCTGCCTGCACTTCTCTTTGTCTGGTAAGTCTGACAAACAGCTTCCCTGCTGTTACTGCTGGTGGCATGGCACAAGGACTTTAATCTAAGTGCTTCTCTTTGAGACAGTCAGCCCACTTTCCTTGGAATAGCCTTAAAAGCCTAGGCACTGTGTAGCATGTGAGCTATCAAAAAAAAAAATGTAAGCTGGCTTGGGAGAACTGGATTTTGGGTGCAAATAGAGGCTATGGCTGTGACAACAAAAACTGATGAAGACTCAGATGCCACATGAAACATAAGAAGGCGACATCAGAAAGTTTCTGGGTCTGGGGTTTCTCCTGTAAGAAAACATGCCACCAAATGACCAGTTTTGTTTGATTTTGTACTAGAAAATCGTGCATAAATCACAGTGCTATTCAACTGCAGCACATAGTTGATAAAACTGATTTTGTCATAGTGTTCTGAAGTAATATATAGAACAGACTTTAGGCTATAAGAAGGCACTTCTGTATTTCTGGAGGGTAATTGGAGCTACACTACTGCTGGCCATTTCAGAGTTTAATGTTTGCTGCTTTGAGGTGCTATGTAGTTCAGTCTGGTGATACGCTGAAGTAAAGCTTTAGGTTTTATTGGCATATGCTGCCTGGTGTAATTATATGGAACACTTTGTTTTAGGGAACTTACATGTGTGAGTATGTGAATTTTGAGCAAAAAGTGCGAAATACTATTCCCCATTTTAGAAGTGCTTAAAATAACTCCTGGCTGCAGAGCAGGTGCCATGTGTCTTTCTGCTGGGTACATGGGGAGGCAGGTGCTAAATATAGGCGAATTAGTAAACCCTCCAGAAGTTCAGATTGCAAGAAGGGAAGGACAAAGAAATTCCTGTGAGAAGGAAGAGTGGAAGTTCTGTTCAAAATAATAATAAAAAAATTGTGATAGCATGCAAGCCCAAGCTCAAGACCTGTGTTTTATGTTCAGTTTGTGCTGGACTAAAGCCTCCAGTTACAGCAGCAGCTCCCAGCAGTGCAAGGAGGGCTGGCACCGTGTGGGGTGGTTTGTCCAGCAGCAGCAACACAGCTCGTGCATCTCTGTTAAATCAGGCATGGGCTTTTGCTTCACAAGCCTTTTGCTTTGGAAGCACTGACGGATGTCTAAGCACA